GGTCTTCTGTAACGGAAGAGGTCTGACGCAACAGGTTAGTATTTATAAACAGTTTTATTTGGTCACAGTGAGTACGGGTGTAGGGTCCGGAGGATGTGATGGTGAGGGAATAGTTCGTAGAATGGTGCAAAGGATAAGATGAGTGGGGTAATCCGAGTCGTTGGCTTGATAGGAGCTGGAAGGCACACAGGAGGAGCACACACCTCAGCGATCCGGGAACTAGGAGGAACAGGAGACACTTGGAGACGAGGAGACACTAGGAGGAACACAGGAGGTAAGTAAGGCAGGAAGTATTCAAATGGAAGCAGTAGCAAAGTCATTGAGTCCTCTACGTGTATACGAGACCGGACAGTGAGGGTGTCTGAGGTGTGTGCTTTTATGCAGGCTGGTAATAAAGCATTATATAATTCTTTACATATGAGCTAATTAAACAGCAACACTTTGTTAATTACTGTAACGATAGAGGCGTGACAACAGAATTGAGGATCCATCTGCAGCTTTTATTAAGAGCGTAGTCGGACAGGCAGGGTCAAAACACCAGCAAAACAGTACATCCAGGGTAATCCAAAAGAGTAATCCAAAGAACAGGCAGTCAACGATCACAAACCAGGTAAACAGTCCAAGAACAAAACACGAAGGTAAGGCAAGGCAAGACAAGGCAGAAACTAGACAACATAGGCTAAACAATAATCAGCAATGTGTGTGTGGATGAGTGCTACCTTTATAATGTCACTGATGGGAAACAGGTGTGGTGTGATAATGTGTTCTTAGGCAGGGGTTATGGGAAATGGAGTCCGGAGAAAACAAAGACGAGACCCACAATCATGACAATTACAGTGATAATGAATGAATTAACTCACTATTTGTATATAGTCTATTAATGTATTAACTATAGTTTATAAACTATTAATGAACTAAAATAGTTTAAAAATGAGTTATGTGTTATTGTATAATTATTATAAAGTGTTACCAATAAAGTCTATAAAGTCTATAAAGTGTTACCAATAAAATTATACTTTATTTATCACAAACATGCACTGCGGATTATAAACTCATAAATTCACATTAATATAGCTGTTTGTTTTGTTTACACAGGCTATGTGGATGTATTCTCACTGCTCAGTCTTGTGAGAGTTTGTCTTCAGCTCTACAATCCTCAAATTCCCATCTAAATATGCTGGACCTGAGTAACAATGACCTGCAGGATTCTGGAGTGAAGCTGCTTTCTGAAGGTCTGAAGAGTCCAAACTCTAAGCTGGAGATATTGAGGTTTGAGTTTCAAATACTTGATTAATTATTTTGCAAGTTAATTAAAAAACACACACACTGTTAAGATTTATTCTGTACACAGTTACTGTGTTCTTCTTTTTCAGATTTTTCACATGTAATCTCACTGCTCAGTCTTGTGAGATTTTGTCATCAGTTTTACAATCCTCAAACTCTGTCCTGAGAGAGCTGGATCTGAGTAACAATGACCTGCAGGATTCAGGAGTGAAGCTGCTTTCTGAAGGTCTGAAGAGTCCAAACTCTAAGCTGGAGATAATTCTATGGGTATTTTCACATACATTTTGTTTTAAAAGAACCAACCCCAGTTCACGTAAAGTGAACCAGAATGGGAACCAGCCAAAAGTGACGTGAGTCTGTCACGGTGTGCCTACTGTGTCGGAGTGAGGAGACAAAGGAGCGTGGAGACGGAGGGAATCCAGAAACATAATACACTTTATTTCTCAAGGAACAAGGAACACACACGTAGCACACGGGGTAGACATTTAAGACTGAACGCAGGACTCAGGAAACACAGG